TTTTGAGTTGCTTTCATTATAGCATGTTCTCTAAATTTCTCTAAGATTTTTCTTTTGTAACTTTTAAGCTTAAAAATGTAGATCTATCTAATTACTATTTTATTTTATTTTTTTTTTTATTGCAAGTGACAATTTTGATCAGGAAGGTTTCAGTCGAACTTGTTGAGTATGTTATTTATTCCTTTGAATGCTTACAATTTTGACCTGAAAAGTGTTCTAATAAAATAAAAAATATCGAGAGCTAGTGTGGACATAGGAATCAACACTGCATGGTTTCATGCTTTAATCTTTAAACCAAGCTGTTCACAAGATTGCATTTTTGACAGTCACCATGCAGTGTTGATTTTCATGCCCACACACATTCTGTATATCTCTAGACATTTTATATTGTGTGTGTGTGTATATATATATATATATATATATATGTGTGTGTGTATATTTTGGCAGCATGTATTCATTGAGAAAGTTTCATTGAATAAAATACTCTGAATACTATGTATCAACACGGTAATTTTCTCACTTCCTTTAATAATGACACCAAAAAGCTTGTCCATGAATACAAAAGGATCCAATTGAAAATAAGTAGGCAGATCTTGTCTAAATTATTCAATGAAATATCTATCTATTTGAAAATTATAACATAAATATGTTATAAAATAGCCATTTTGTTTCAACACTTCTGGTGTTTTATCAAGTGATGGTGTTGAATGTAGAATAAAGAGTTTTAGAAGGTTCAAATCAACCAAACACCCCTTGCTTGGGGAAACACTGTTACATAATCTGCAATGACCAATCAAAATACAAGTATATGAGAATTCAAAAAACTTGACAATGAACCTTGGTTATAATAATGCCTTAATGTTAGGGTTAGACAAAAATAAAAATCATTCTAAATAATTAATCTTAAACTTTACTATAAAATTGAAAATTACTAATTTTAAATTTAACCTGTATTAAGTTTAAAATATTATAAAATTATTTAAAGAAGAAACCGAGGAAAAAATACATATTATTTATTTTGTTTTAATTGAAAGGCCAAAAACTCTAAAGATTATGAATCAAACAAGATTCTATCTGCCTCAAATGCACACTTTACTTGCTCATGACTACTCAGTTTCATATCTATTTAAAATAGTATTTTATTTCATATACTGGCCTGAACATTTAAGAATGTTTAAAGTGGTAATAAAATATATATATATATATATATATATATATATATATATATATATTGTACACTGAGTGTTGATGCTAATAGTGCTCAATGTATAATAAGAGTTATAATTTATATTGATAATAAATATACATTTCCCCCTCACCAGTAGCACAACTCTGAGTTTCATGCACAATGCATTGAGAACTATGAAATCTATAATTCTCAAAATGTGTGTGTGTGTGTGTTATCAGATGTTGTTTATGCATTTCCACAGTTTTCATCAGATTTTGATGAAATTTTTCTTTGATTGATTCAGTGCCAGTTTTGCATCCAAATCGTTGGCGACAATGGCTCTCCACTACTTCCTGTCCATTATAACTTTCAGCAATATTTTACTATCTGTTCTTGGATATATATATCTTTCATAAAAACTTTAATAAAAATAAATAGTTTAAATTATTACAATAATATTATTTATGATTATGTAGTTCCCTTTTCAGGGCCTCCACACATTCAAATTGTTAACCCCCCCCCACACCAATTTGGGGATGTGCCTCAGTTGCAACCAAATGTTGTTACTAATATTGATTTTCAGGTGGGCTGACTTTAAACTTAAATGGCTCCAATTGAACAGCAAAAATTTCCAGTAATGAAACACCCAGTCAATGGCGGTTATACTGCTTGTTTGAAAATAAATTAGTTATCCCCAAGGATCTTTATAATCACTTCCAAGACAATTGGAGATATAATTATGAAGAAAAATAGATCCAACATTGATGCTAGGATTTATCAAATAATTTGCTTGCAATGTAGATACTTGTATTGGGAAGACATCTTAAAGTCTAAAAGCCCACATCTGTGAACACAAGTAGACCTATGTAGAGATAACTATTTAAACTCGCTTGTAATATGCAGGAACAAGGCTGGCTATAACTTCGATTTTTACAAATGCCATCCTAATTAAAAAAAAAAAACAAAAAAAAAAAAAACAATTCTTTACATTGAAAATACTTTAAGGGAGTTCTGATAAAAATTTTACCAATTCTAAATACATGTGAAAAACACTATATTGCATCATTCATACAGTATAATATGGTGAAAATGTAACTTTTTATACTCTGTCTTTAGGCATTGATTTGTGGATGAAATGTCAAGATTCAACAAATTTGTCAGTCATGTATCAAAAGATACATGATCGCCTACACGTGTATCCCGCATGGCACATAACTGACTGCATCACTTGCAGCTTAGGGGTGAATTGATTAAAAAAAAAAAAAAAAAAAAAAATAAATATTAATGTAGTGATACAAAAACTGGAAAGTGCATAGGAATAATAAGATTCCTTTCAAAAACTAAGCAAAGTATTAAGAAATAATCTTACTTATTATAAAATGCAGATTGTGTGTGTGTCTGTACGTCTATATATTGGATCAGATTTCCTACATTTTTTCAACTGATTTCAACAAAACTTCACAGGACTACGTAAAATTAACTTGTGGTTCTGGCAGTGCCAAAAATTGGAAAAACACAATTGTTTTTGGATAAAATCAATTTGAAAACACGATTAAGAGGCATTAATGAAAGGAGGACAACTCATATCGAGTTATACTTATTAATATTGAGTTATTGAGTTATATTTATTATAAAACCCAAGTTGGTTGTTTGTGTGTGTGTGTGTGTGTTCGTTTATATATGGGATCGGATTTCCTACATTTTTCAACCGATTTCAACAAAACTTCACTTTTTCTTTTTTTTTTTTTTTTTCTTTTGGGCAGGTATTGTCTTATTGTCTTGCACACTTTTTTCTTTTTTATATTCAGAATGCTTTAAAAATTCCATTTACAAGACAATTGTTTATAATAAAATTCTATTCAATCGGTAGACTCAACAATTGAAAACAATGTTTTTGTTTGAGTTTGGGGTTGACCAATTTGTAAAAAAAAAAAAAAAAAAAAAACTAATTAAGACATGCGTGTTCGTCAACCTTAAACAATAATCTTTGTCAATTTTATTTTTCAGTCTTTATGATGGTTGATACTTGATCTATCTCTTACTGTTACATCGCCGGGCAACGCCGGGCTCTACTGCTAGTTTTTCTTAAAACTAAACAGCCATCCATGTATAAACAGAAGGAGCAGTTGTGTGAATGTGATCTGCCTGTGTGAAAACATAATCTTGATATATTAGGTGTAATTTCTGTTTGTCTTTTTTTTTCTTTGTTTTTCTTAATCACTGTGAACCTTTTTATTTGATTCATCTCCATCAAACCCTGAAGAGTGAAGCTTGAAACTGGTTAGCTCATTCCTTTCTTTTTTTTTTCTTTTGCTTTTGTTGTGTTTTCTAGTTTCATTCCAACTACTGTAGTTGTGATAATGTTTTCTGTACTTTTAATTATGTCCATTTTTATTGCCATATTAAGAAATAGGAAACTAACATTAGAAACGAATGAGAGTGCTGAACTGCTATGTAATATCGAAATCTCCTATATGTCATTGAATGCTGGACAGTTTCCTCTCGGATGAAGAAGAGATTTTCAGAAATAGATGTGGTTCTAATGATGAATATCATGGGCAGAGCATGTGAGTAATGAGGCAGTTTTAAGGAAAATAGGAGCAATAAAGAAAGTTATACTTACAATCAGAAAGAGTTAAAATTTCTGGGAAACGTGAGGAAAGTAGTCTTACAGAATTTAACATTCACAGGATATATTACGGACAATTAGGAAGAAACTGACTTAAATAGTTTGTCTGGATAGATGACAAGAACAGAAACAAAGATAGATTGTAAAGAAACAAAAGTTATGAAAACAAAAGATGTGGAGAGCCATGATTGCTCACGTCCTGAAAGAACTTGATACATAAATGAAGATTAATCAATTACCGAATGCTGTTATTATAAATGATTTCTCTTTCTCAACTTTTCTGCTAAAATTTTCTTCTCACTAAACATGAAGTTACTTTTTTTTTTTTTTTTTTTTGTTTATGGCTTATCAACCCTTTATGAGTTAATGACAGCTGAAACATATTTCTGATTGTAGATTTTGTATACAGTACCTGGTGGTCCACCCATCTAAGTACTGACTGAACTTGATACTGCTTAACTTTTGCTGATTGAATGATAGTGTTTTCAACATGATTTCTCAGGTTTAAGAGAAACTGAAGAAATAGAATTATATCTTATTTCCCTATCACACTGAATGCACGAGTTGACTGTTTAATCAATCTCTTACAACAACAGAGATATTTAATAAACTTAGCTTTATCAATTCTATAGTGGGTATGGAAGATTGTGTTGTTTCAAAGGTTTCAAGTGTAGATAATTTGAATCTGCCCAGCATTTGTAATTTTAGATTTTTTTCTCTTTTTCTGGATTTAAGCACTGGGAGTAGTGGAAATAAGCAACTATCTCAGCCACCAAGCAGATTCAAAGATTCCATAACACAAGACATAATTAGTAATTTTGAGATAGCTCTTTCTCTTAATGTGGGTTGTCTTGATTTGATGATAGTGTAGTAGTTTTTGGTACCACAAGATTCTCTTTTTCTCTCTCTCTCTCTCTCTCTCTGGTTTTTTTCACGTTTGCTCTCTCTCTGTTTTTTTTCACGTTTTCTCTCTGTTTTTTTTTCACGTTTTCTCTCTGGTTTTTTTCACGTTTTCTCTCTGGTTTTTTTTTTTCTCTCTGTTTTTTTTCACGTTTTCTCTCTCTCTCTCTCTCTCTCTCTCTCTGTTTTTTTTTTTTTTTTTTTTTCCCGTTCTTTTTTCCCTTTCTTTTTTCCCTTTGTTTCTCAAGTAATGACTACATAATAAAATCTGTTTCTATTTGAATTTTTAATCTTTATTTTCAGTTAGAAAAAACTTGCCGGTCATCCCAAAAGATTCAGCAGAGTTGTCATGCAGTGTCCAGTTCAGACTCCGATGCAACTGTTGATCCTGGCTCAGATGCAGTCACCGAGCCAGACTCTGATGCAACTGTAGAACCTGATACACAGGATTTTGACTCCTCCCAGGATCTTTTCTCTGATCCCTCAGATGACGAAAAAGAGACCTCTGTTAAGATGTCTTCAAGAGTAGTTAGACAAACCACACATGCTATCTCTGATAGTGGCTCGGACTCCGAGACGGAGATAAAATCGTCCAGCAAACATCGCCACAATAGTCACAAATCTTCTCATTCTTCCTCTTCTGCTGGGAAAGTGGACTCGAAGAAGGTGTCCTCTGGACATCACCGTGGAAGCAGTAGCCATTCCAGTACTCGTGATGTGGATCCAAGTCGTTCCAAGAGTCGTTCCCACCGTAGTTCATCTTCCAAATCAAATTTGGATATGCCACAGAAGTCTGATAAGAGTTCAAAGACTTCTGTGTCATCCAATGGTTCAGGCCTTTTTTCTGACTTTCTGGACCTTTCTTCTTCTGAAACCACCTCAACCGCCCCTGTTAAGTTACCATCCTTAACCTCTACTCCAGAAAAGGCCCCCACCCCCAAAAGTGCCACCACCAAAAAAAACTCAAAGCTTCATGACATTTTTGGCAGTGATTCTGAAGAGAGTGCTGAAGACAGTGGAGTTGGCGTCGGTCCCATTGATGCCAAAGCTAAGCAAGACCCAAATGACCTGGTACCACAACCAACGTCACCCTCCCCACCTCCATTGTCTTCACCTTCACCCCCACCCTCTCCGTCCTCAGTTTCGTCACCTACCCCTACCTCAGCACAAGTGTCTTCATTGTCATTTGACAAAGCAATTGATTTTGATAGTACGGCAGCGTACAAAACAGCCAAGTCGAAGCCGTCATCTTTGTCAACATCTTCGTCCAAACAGTCATTACCCAAATCATCGAACAGTGTTTCAAAGTCTGAATCTCGCAAACCTGACCATTCACTTAGTCACTCTTCTTCGTCGTCCTCTACCTCATCGTCAAAGAAAGAACCAGTCAAGGATGTTACGAATAAGAGTTCATCGGCAGTAAGTGAAAGCGTACCGAACAAGAGGAAACAGGCTGGTAGTAACAAACCAATGTGTAAATATGGAAGTGATTGCACGAGAAAAAATCCTTTGCATTGGGCAGAATATGAACATTTTGGTAAGTACGGGATTTTAAATGATATTCCAAAGTAGTTCATATCTATAGTAAAATTTACTTTGCAAAGTAGTTCATATTTGCTAAAAATAAACATCAGTCAGTTATGTGCCATGTGTGATACACGCTTAGGTGATCATGTATCTTTTGATACATGACTGACGAGGCAGATTTTTTTCCCCACACTATGTTGCCATTTCTTTCTGTGGTAGACAAGTTGCCATCCAAGGCTATAGAACCCAGTCTGGGAGGAGAAAAGGATTCATAGCTTTCCCAAGGGTATTAGATTGTAAATGAATGTAATGGTTTCAACTGGAATTCTAATTCAGCTCTCCAATTCCTCAATCTGAGCTGCTATCTATTACTCTATCGTTATTTCCCAAAGTAGTTCATATCTATAGTAAAATTTATTTCACAAAATAGTGTTATAGTAAAATGATAACCCCAAATAGTCTTACTATAGTAAAATTTACATTATACCTACTTTATGCAGTTCTGATCATAATCTTTTTAATTATATTGTATGTGATGGCATGCTCTACACCATCACTCAGCCCTGTGTTTAGTGATTTGGTCACATCCTATGATGACCTGATGACTACCCTACCAGAGTCATCTACCAGTTCAAACCGCCATCTGCAAACTGGAGACAACCTTGTGGCAGACCATGCAGCTGCTGGAAGGATGTCATGTGCCAGGACCTCCAGCAGATTAATCTGCTTCTGGAGGATGTTTTGACATTCTACCAAGAGCTGGAGGGATAATGTGGCTCTTGTGGACTTGATGCCTTCATGATATGAGATTTAGCAGCAGGTGTATAGAATGTGCTTTGCCAGGGTTACATACTGGTTTTGAATACAGAGTTCTCCTTCTCTTAGATTGGTTACCAACTATGGCTAGAGAGCCCAGTCCACCCTGCTATATAACCTAGAGTTGTGAGTAAGAGATAGATTCATACCTTTTCCAAGAGTATTTGTGTGAAAGTAATGGACAAGACCAGAACTTGAACTCCTCTCACTGATTTCTCATTCTAAACCACTAACCACTATCTGCACATTATGCATATAATTGCATGATTCTGTCAGTAATGCATATTTATTCTTGACTACTGACAAAACCTGGGTTATTACAAATTCTTCTGTGAGGGTGAATTTAAAATTTTTTTTCTCTCCTTCTTGCTCTTCTCTTTTATTTGTATTTTTTCCATTTCACACCAAGCAAGGCAATAAAACCACTAAGATGTAAGAGGTTACCGAGTGTGAAAGAATATGAGGAAAAGAAAACATTATTTAGGAGAGAGGACAATAAAAGAACAAGAATTAAGAATACAGATGATGACAACATTGATCTTAAAAAATTTAAAAGGTTGACTGGAAAGCAAGAAAGGAGAGTTCCACAAGTTTGAGAGAAGTAACTGTTAGCATAGAACTTAGTTACATCAAACCATTTCAACTGTAAAATGATGTGATCTATCTACCATTCTGATACTGTACTTAAAATCGGAAAGGTTGTTTTTCTTCTCCTTTTTGCTGCCCCCTCCTTCTCTTTCTCCTTTCCTCTTCTCTTTCTCCTTTCCTCTTCTCTTTCTCCTTTCCTCTTCTCTTTCTCCTTTCCTCTTCTCTTTCTCCTTTCCTCTTCTCTTTCTCCTTTCCTCTTCTCTTTTCTCCTTTCCTCTTCTCTTTCTCCTTTCCTCTTCTCTTTCTCCTTTCCTCTTCTCTTTCTCCTTTCCTCTTTCTCTTTCTCCTTTTCCTCTTCTCTTTCTCCTTTCCTCTTCTCTTTCTCCTTTCCTCTTCTCTTTCTCCTTTCCTCTTCTCTTTCTCCTTTCCTCTTCTCTTTCTCCTTTCCTCTTCTCTTTCTCCTTTCCTCTTCTCTTTCTCCTTTCCTCTTCTCTTTCTCCTTTCCTCTTCTCTTTCTCCTTTCCTCTTTTTCTTCACTCTTTATGTATGCTGCTGGCAAAAGTTAGATAATGCTTATTCAAGAATTTTTGGTGAATTTAACTGTATTATTAGTTCATAATTGGATTTGTCACCATTGAAACGGTCTATTTTTGGACTCATAAGCTGTAGAGTAGTTAGCCATGATTAAATGTAATTGGCAGAAATGTCCAACAAACAGAATTGACAAAATTTGTGATAAACAATAACAAGAGAAAGAACAGGATAACAATAATATTAAGCAAGCAAACAATATGTGCAAGGCAAAGCAACAGTAATAAGTAAAAAAAATTCAATTAAAAATGGTGTTAACACCCAAAAAGGGATACAGACAAACAATTGCGGCGTTTTGGCTTCAAGTCAAGAAAAAACAGAACTAAGTCGGATGAGACTGAGAAGTGGCCAATCTTATTGGTTAGGAAAAAATCCCAGCATGAATCTGTGCATTTTGCCTATAAGAAAGGGGTAAATATTTTGCAGACATTCCTAGCATGGTTGGAATGAGCACTCTGAATCTTTTTTTAACACCCCCTCTGCCATTCTCTACATCATGACACTCATTAATGGGCAATCTGTACCCTGGCAACAGCTGTATCAGAACTACCCTCATTTCTATGACTGTTTATAAGAGCCTGAATGGAAATTTGTAATTTCTGACCAAGTGCCACTTGATCTTGAAAGTTTTTATCATTTGTTATTTATTATTTTATTGGTTAAATTGATGACTTCTATTAAGATCCCACTTTGTGGACTTTACTGCTGGTCATAAATAAACAGTTACGACTGAGATAAAATCCTTTACCATCCTCTTTTATGTGGGTGTCCTGATAATGGCTGTTGTGTCACACAAGCGACATTATTGTCTGCTGTCTTTGAAGCAGACTAAGGAAATCCTTGTTTTTTCAGAAATTTATACAAAAGTTTTGTTTCCATTTCAGAAGAAAGTCTTGATCAGAGCCCATCGTCCAAGAAACAAAAATGTGTTGAACAAGGATCATCTCTTGATGAGAAAGTTGTCCGGAGAAAATACAAAGATGCCCAACCTTTTAGTTTTTTCCTAACCCAAGTGAAAGGGATTGATGCCAAATACAACTCCTCCTTTGTGCTAGACATTTCTGGTAAGTAACAAGTTCAAATATTTGCTCGTCTAGTGAACATAATTCTAACAGACTACTCTATTAGTGCTTCCGCTGCTGCATTGTTATATCATTGTGGCTTGGCTGTGCTAGCCTACTTGGGGGGGGGGGTAGGAAATTGACCTTTACTGGAAATATAAAGATGTTGATTTCTCATGGGCACTACCATTTTTAGTCAGGTTTGCTGCAGTGCAGACCAAGCTAAATGACACACCCAACACACAATATAAAGAAAATCTTATGGAGTTCTACAATAGGTACTCTGACCAGAAATAATAATTTTATTTTATTTATTTATTGTTTTTCAAACATGACATGTGGAACTAGAACAGTCTCCCCCAGTGAGCAAAATAAAGGGTTCAGTTTGACATTCCAAGCACCTGAAGAATGCTGGAGCATACAACAGCCGAAACGTTGTAATAAATATGGTGACAAAGATGAGGACAATAGTCTGAATAATGTAAATAGTGTACATAATACCTCATACCAGAAATATAGACAGATACTGTGGGTTGTCCAGTTTGCTATGTAAATTAATCTCATTATGCCCCCCTCCCCCCCGCCAATATGCTCATACCATTTCTTGAAATATTAAAAAAAAAATGGGATTTGGATTTCTTTTTCATCTTTTACTCTTGCTGAAGCACTCCAGATTACAAAATTCAAAAACAGTCTGGGGAGGGGGAGTAGTACAAAACTTTATTAATGCTTTAAATGTTGGCATATTAAAATTGAATATATATAGAGGAAAAAAAAAGAAGAATAACAAGGATAGTGAAATAAATCACCATGAAACAATATCAAAAATCACAAAAAAGAGGACACTTAGCCCAGTGGATAAAAGCGTTGACTGAAGTAATCCAGTGACTTTACCCAAAGAGTTGAGAGTTCAATACCTGGCTACAGCAGGGGTGAACAAAAACTTGGAGATTTGAGTTACTAAAGGGAAATAACTGAAACTTAAATAAAGGGTTCGGTTTGAAATTCCAATCACCTGAAGTAGGCCGGAGCATACAATGGCTGAAACGTTGTGAATATGGCAACAAAGATGATGACAACAGTCCGAACAATGTAAATAGTGTAAATAACTACAATACCACATCTCGGAAATATTGACAGATAATAAAGAGTTTCCCAATCCTCACTCTTTGGAGCCCGTTGAAGACAAATGTGTAAATTTTGTGCACAACATTTAAAAAAAAACAAAAAAAACAAAACAAATTATAAAGAGCCAGAGGATTGACAGAGGAAAAAAACTGAAGGAATGGCTGCTAGGTCTTAATGTAATCAGTGTGATTATTGGTTTCTATTCAGTATTGTTATCATTTTGACTAAATACATTTTTGTGTTGAAAAAAAGGAAAAATACTTGTTGACCATTTTGATTTTAATGAATATTAAAATGTCTAATATTGCTAAGTTTTTTTAATTTCTTGGTTGTCCACCTGGAAGCAATTGTGCCCTAATTAAGATTCTATTTTTTGTTTGTGTTTCCACAGCTTAGCACTTGCAATGAAATTTAGAAAAAAAAAAAGAAAAAATTCTTGAAATTAGTCCATTGTTCTTATCCAGAAATATTGTTATAATTCATTGTTTAGGTAAAAATTTATAATTTTAATTAAAATAAAAACCTATTCATCACTTTTAAATTTTCAAACAGGATTGGGAAAATAACTTGTTAAAACAAAGTATATAAAAATTACTGTATTATATACAGTCAGACTAATGTCCTCATCTTTGTTAATATCACAATGTTTCAGCTGTTGTACTTTCTAGCCTTCTTCAGGAATTTGTTGATCTGGGTAACCTTTAAGAAATTTTGAACCGGACTCTTTATTTAATCAACGGAGGCCACTATAGATTGAATAAATGGTTCAATTTGAAATTTCCTGGAGGTTACCTGGATCAAGAAATAACTGCAAAGGCCAGAGGTCACAATGGCCAAAATGTGATAACAACAACAAAGACAGTTCCTCATTCCAGAAATTAAGACAGAATTCTAGCTTTTACTTGAGAATAAAAAAAAACAAATTGCAACCCTTAATTTTCTTCTTGGAAGAAGTTGACATTTGAAAACCTATAGTTAGAACTGTGCTGTTTGAGAAACTCTGAGAGAAAAAAATTTAGTCTTGAAATATTTATTATTTTTTATTTTTTTTTTTTATTTTATTTTTATTATTTATTTATTTATTTATTTATTTATTTATTTTTTTTTTTTCAGAAATTCTTTCACCTGCTTTTGGTAATATGCAAGCTTCTTGTCAGGTAGGTAATATCTATAATTAATAGTCTACCTTGGCCTGCTCTCCTGGCCTGTCCATTTCTCTCTCACCTCTCCTGTCCTATGTCTCTACAAAATTGTACTGAAAAGTTTTGTCCAACACAGAAACTTTTTCGTTTTTCAATTTTTGTTTTTTCATCTTTTTTTTTCTTTTTTCATCGTTTTTCGTCTTTTTTTTTTGTCTTTTTTTTTTTTTTGTCTTTTTTCTTTTTGTGTGTGTTAGTTATATGCACACACACACACACACACACACACACACACACACACACACGAAGCTAATAGCCCTGATGTGTGAAGGCATTAATAGAATGTCCTCATGAAACTTTGAAGTCGGCATGACTGAAATAACATCATTCAGTTAAGTGACAAGTTACTCCACATTAATTCTATTAATACTCTATCCATACCTTTTGATACTGAGTGCATTATGATAAAAACTTGCCCGTCTAAAATGCTTTTCCACCAGTAAACCACAGAAAAAGAACCAGCAATTTTTGCATCTAAAACTCTTACAATTTAATACTTATATATATATATAAGGCATAAAGTTACAAAAAGGAGAAATAATCATAGCATTTTATGCATACCTGCAGTTGGGCACATGAGCGTTTATACACATGCACACTATAAAAGAAATAACAAAAATCAACTTTGCACAAATGAAAAATGCATATATAAAAGAAAAAGGTTATAAACTGTCAATTGCTGATATCTGAGTGGATGGAGTGATTGTTGGGGTGTCTGTCTATTCGGCTTTCACAAACTTATATAAGTGAATATATATATATATATATATATATATATAAAGTGAACATTGAAATCAACACTCAGGCAACAGGCTGTTTCATGCTAGGCACAATTGTCAGGCCTGACGATTGTACCTAGCATGAAACAGCCTGTTGCCACTAGTGTTGACTTCAATGTTCACTTTTATATTTGTTTATATACGCTCTATCTCTGATATTAAGCACTTTATCCCATAAATATAGCACACCTTTAAAACTATATTTTTTTTTATATATATATATATATATATATATATATATAAAGGAAAACTTTTCTTAGTCGATGTGTTTCTTCCTTTGATGGACTTTATCTTGACAAATGTAGGATTTTGTTAGTTTTTCAGGATTTTTATATTTAAGATATAAATATACATCAAGTTAACTGAAAGTCAAGGTAAACTATTGATGATGTGATGTCATTTAATATCTAATAAAGGAAAGTGAGTAAATGATATTTTATTGAATTTTTGTTAAGATGTTTCCTTCTGTCTTTATTTATATTGCCTTTTTTGCAGATATATTTTTTATATCTGAGATAGATATATATATATATATATATATATATATATATATATATATATATATATATATATATATATATATATAAACACTATATCTGTAAAGACAATATAAAGTAAAAAACTTTTACTTTAATAAACTTTTCCTTATCAATGAGTTTCACCCCTTGTGCAAATTTATTAATGTAAAGGTTTTTTTACTTTATATTGTCTTTACAGATATAGTGTTATATAATAAAAATGTGTATATGCATATATTTTGTGTTTTTTACCAGTCTGTTACTTTCTTACTTTGCATTTTCTTATTTGACTCCTCTCTTACTGTGTCCATACCTAATGAAATATTTTGAATATGTTATAACATTAGAAATGCAAATAAAAGAACTGTTTTTTAGAATTTGTCTTTTGAAATTTTGAAAACCATTTTCTTTTCAGTTCAATTATATGATTGACATTGCTTGGTTGGTTCAGCAGTATTCTCCAGAATTTAGGTATGTCATTTTGGTTAAATATTTGCTATCAATTTGCTTATAGATAGGGATGAAAATTCCCTTTTTCTTATACAGGGTGGGTGGAAAGGAACTACCTACTTAAAATTGTTAATGTGTTTATTAATTATTGATAGATTTTCATAAAACATTTTATTTTGAACAATATAATGGGAGAAGTACAGTACGGTGTTAAAGTCCTACCTTTTGCACACCTTTTCTTCCAGTTGGATAGCGGCTTGGGTTGAGGAATCAGAGAGCTGAATTTGAATTCCATTCAAATCCATTACATTCATTTATGTGCTAATAACCTTAGAAAAGGTATGAATCCTCTTCTTCCCCCAGCTATGGTTAAATAGCAAGGCAGACTGGGTTCTACAGCCTTAGATGACAACTAGTCTACCGCAGAAAGAAATGGCAACCTACTGTGGGAAAAATTTGCCTCATCAGTCGTGTATCTTTCAATACATGATCGCCTAAGTGTGTATCACTGACTGACTTTCCCTTCAAGATATAGGTGATTATGACTGTCTGCAGATTCCTTTTGTATAATATCATAATGCATTCATAGGGAAAGATAGTGGAGTGGTTTCCTGTTGCCTTCTCCATGGTTTAGAATTCAGTTTTTCTTTTTCTCCTAGACTGGATGTGCATTGTCGTGTAATGGCTAACAGCTTGGAATGAGAAATCTGGGAGCCAAGTTTGAATTCCAGTCAAGTTTGTTAGCTTCACTTATGCACAAATATCCTTGGGAAAGGCATGAATTCATCTCTTCTCATCCTAGCTGTGGGCTGAATAGCAGGATGGACTTGGCAACCAGTCTACTGCAGAAAGAAATGGCAACCTACTGCGGGAAAATCTGCTTACTCAGTTGTGAATTGAAAGAGACATTATTGTGTATCATGTATGGCACTTGACTGACTGAGACTAGTCATTACCCTAGCCTACAGAGCTGAGTTTACTCTGTTTATATATTTATTTATTTATTTTTTTATCAATTCACCCCAAGCAAGGTGATAATGCTACTAAGATGCAAAGGACTATTGGGAGTGAAATAGAATGAGAAACCCAATCCAAAACAGGGAAACAAACTGGAAAGGGAGAATAAACAGATTCTTGCCTTTCTCAAGTGCACTTGTGCAAAAGTGAATGCAATACGCTAGGGCAGAATTTGAACTCTGCTCACCAATTTCACTATCTATGCTGTTATCCATTGGAACTTTAATATCCTCCTGGCTAACCACCTCCTTGAAAAATACTGCCTGAAAAGTACTGACCATATATACATGGTCTTATTTTTTTTTTTTTTTTTTTTTTTTTAATTTTTTTTAATTTTTTTTTTTTTGTTGTTAAGGCAAGACTGAGATTAATCTTGCGATAAAGCAAGGTGGGTTCTACCTGACAGGATCTCTTGTCATAAGGATTTAAGTCAAGGTTTTTTCAGAGCTAGATGCTCTTTCTGATGCCCAAGTCAAAGTACACCAAGTGTTTTTATCAGGACACCATCTCTAGGAAGGTTGGCATACAAAGCTTGAGACCTCATCCTAGGCATGTATGTATGTGTGTGTGTGTATGTATGTATGCATGCATGCATAAGAAGCTCATCCCCACCTACCTTTTAACAGGTCTTATTTTTTATCCTGTGGAATGACATGCCACTTTTCTGACTAGCAGAAAAACTAGTGAGGGAGCTGGTTGTACAAGGTTACATGTTACCAGTAGCTTGACCTGACCTTAAATCAACTGAAGAAATTTTACCCACCTTTTTTAAGGAGTTTCATTTTGCAAACGATGCGGTGGAAGAGCTGGAAACCAAAATTCTCTGTAGATCAGAGACCAAAATTCTGACTGAATTCCCAGTCTGAATCCTTGCCATTGAGTTTGATATATTTTGAATAATGTTGACATGTAACTCTCCAAGCAGCTGTTGCTTGGTAGACTGCAAAACTACTGAATTAGGAATGGTTAAACTGGTTACTGTAACCCTTTAACAAATAAACTTTAAGTCATTTCCTTAATTTTTCTTATAACTTACCTTCTCCATTCCTGAACATGTTTCAACCAGCTTCACTTAAGACTTCTTCAGATTAAAAACTTAAATACAGTGAGAGTGGAGAAGAATGACTCGGGTGGAGAGAGATTCCAAGCACTGCCAGGAGGAGACTTAAGTTGCTTTATATAGTTGTCTAATCCTGGGTATGATGATAAACTACATCCGACAGCAAGGCCTCTGATTGGGAGATTGGAGGTTTTGAGGAGCATGGAGCCACCTCTTAACTGGTATTGTTCCACCTTGACCTGGGCCAAATAGTGACACCCCCAAAACAAATCAACAGTACATTTTTATAATGAAATTACCAGCAATGCTTTAAAAAAAAAAAAAAAAAATTACCAACAGTACATTTTATCTATAAACTATACATTTAAAAATATACATGTTTACTTTGAAAGTATAAAATTATATATAAAATATCTGTAGTTGAAGGCTTAAAATTGCATTCAAAATATTTTGAATTAAATAATCCATAGAAATTGATATACTGCTAAACAAAATTAATTGAAAGTATAGTTGTCAAAACTTTTTTTTTTTTTCCCATTCAATAAAGTTATTGCTTGATAATGATTGTTAATTTGGAATTGAATTTCAAATTTTGATGGTTGTTTGGAGAGTAATTGTCAGATAAATATGTCCTTCTTTTTCAGAAAGAAGCCCCTTCTTATTGTACATGGATTTACGGGCTCTGAACAAAAGGGTTTACAACAGGATGCGTCAAAGTTTTCCCACATATCATTATGTCAGGTAAGACTTGAATTGCCCTGTATCTGCTGAGATATTGTTTGTATGACAAAGGTGCTAAAAAGTTCATGGTCTGATCTATTTCCTGAAATTTGTTCAAATATGAATTTTTTTTCTTTCTTTTTTCCTTTCGGGAGGTACATCTTAGGCTGAGTTTGTATAAATAATACTGATGGGTTGGAAATGTAGGTAAATTTTGTTTCTTTTCAGGTTTTACTGTGAATAAACTAGTGTCTGGAAAGATCCTTGGGATTTCAAACTATTTGATTCAAAGCAAATATCAAAAGTTCTGTTTTCATAACTTTTGTCAATACTGAGAGCCCCACCTCTCTAATTTAGTCGAGGTGAAGAAAGGAAGTTAACACTAGCCTTAAAAAAAAATATAAAATTTTTATTTTTTTTATTTTTTTTTTTTTTTATTTTTTTTTTTTTTTTTTTTTTTTTATTTTTTTTGAACAAAAAATTGATATTGAGAAATTACCACTTCAGTTATGTGCCATACATGATACATGCTTAGGTGATCATGTATCAAAAGATACATGACTGATGAGGCAGATTTTTTTTCCCACAGCAGGTTGCTATTTCTTTCTGCAGTAGACCAGTTGCCATCCAAGGCTATAGAACCTGGTCTGTCCTGCTATTTACCCATAGCTGGGAGGGAGAAGAAAGGGATTTATACCTTTCTCAAGGGCATTAGCATGTAAGTGAATGTAATGGATTCAAATTCTAGTTGAATCCATTACATTCACTTACAAGCTAATACCCTTGGGAAAGGTATGAATCCTCCTCTTCTTCTACTCTCCAGACACAATCAAAACACAACCATGAAAATTTGAAATTCAATTACCAATACTTAAATCTACTGTCATTAAGCTATGTTTCAAGAGTTAATTAACTTTTGAGTCTTACCTCAGGTGTATATCGATCTGGGAATTTGGTGTATTAGATGTATATCTACAGGGAATTTATTTAATCAGTAGTCTGTTCTTGTTCCACTGTCCATGTCTAGAGATATTGATAGTTATTTATGGTACTGCTCTGTTGTTGCTTTTCCAAGTACACACTGCCTGACCCAGGGATTGAACTCACAACTACAATATCACCAAATTCACGAAACGATGCTTTAATCCATTAGGTTGTTTTTCCCATAGAAAAGACAAAGACAAGAGTTTTGTTTGTTATATATACTTGTAAAGTTTAAAAATGATTTCTTTCCCTAAAAAAAAACTGAAAATAGATTTCTTTTGGACATTTTTCAGGCTCGATTGGACATTCCTTATGGAACCCATCATTCGTAAGTGGATTTTTTTTTTTTTTTTTTTTTTCTTGTATTAGATTAGAAATTATATATATCTATCTATAAAAGGCTGTGTGTGTGTGTGTGTAACGAATGCACGTCCGCAATTTTCGATGGATTTGCAACAAAATTTACATGCACATGCTCCAAGTTAGCGGGAAGGCCAAGACTAACTTTGCATTTCCCAACTCCCATCGATAGTGGAAGTAATCGATTTTTTTTTTTTTTCATGCGTCTACGGCAGTTTTCATGTAGTTTGCGGCCATTTCTACTGGCCAGAGTGAGAGCCTATAGCTGGCTGCCATGAATAGGCAGGAAGATTCTATTGGCCAGCGTGAGAGCCAACAGCTGACTGACATGAATGTTAACTAGCATGCTAGCATACAAAAAAATTGATAGCTGCATTCATCACAAGTGGGAAAAATTTAAATCTGCATGGCACTTTACTCCAATTGGCTCATTCGCTTGCTTAAACTCAACGTTGATTCTGATTGTGCAGAACTGTGTTTTCTATTTATGGCTCCTTAAAATCTGTTTTTTGTAATGAGGACAGAATCTAATTTTTAGATTACTGTGGGACGGTAGTGCCATCTTGTGGGAATTTTCATCAGCCATGAGAATTGTCATATAACAAATTTAACAGAAACAGAAGTGACTCCTTTAAATGTCAATGTGTCATAAATAAAAACCTTGTTAACATAATTTTTGCATTTATTTTTCCCTTTCTCTTTCCAGGAAGATGATGTTTCTCCTTTATGACAATGGAATGAAGGTCGTAATTCACACAGCCAATCTCATTCCTGGAGATTGGCACCAGAAAACCCAAGCGTGAGTTGCACTTAGTCTTTTTGTTCTTTTTTTTTTTCTTAAAAGAATCAAGGTTATTAATTGGTTTACTCAGGCTGTAAAAAATGATAGCATGTCAAATATATTTTTTCCAATTACTATTAGCATACTCTACTCTTTCATCATCAAACTTTTCACTTATTCGCTTCACAAACAGATGCTGTTGCCATTGCAAGGGAATACAACAAAACATTACTGATAGAAAGAAAAAAAAATGTGTGTGAAAAAGAGAGTAAGGCTTGGATGAGAATCTGATGGACAATTAAATATTAGATTATCACACAAGAAATGACATACTTTATAGGAAATGAATAAAACTCTTCTGAAATGTTAAATAACTGATTTATTTAATTGAATTAGGTGCCATGTTGATGAATGACTCTTCTCTAATGTACCTCTAAATTCTCATCCTTTGATGTGATAAATAGTTCAAATGCTTTGATTACCTTTTCCTTATTGGAAAATGTATTATTGTGTATGGAAGCTCAAAAATGCTTAAATAAATGATAATCAGCAGGAGAGATAACAGGTGAATATGGAGGATGAGGCAACATTTCATAATTCAGGCTGATGCAGCTTTTAGACATTTGATTGAGAAGTGTGTGGCAGTGCATTGTCATGTAGCAAGATTGGGGGATCCTATTCACAAGTATAGGATGTTTCTTTTTCAATTTTTCGTGCATACACTCAATTTCTCCACAATATGAACTTGCTGTTATTGTTTTCCTTTGAGGCAAGAATAAATAACCCCTTTGAAAGACCATGACACAGTAACCATTAACTTTTTAGGGTGCAGTGGAGGTGTTTAGGGTATTGTTTTGGTGGTTCACTTGCATCTAACCACTGCTTTACTCTCTTACTGTTGTCAAAGGGTATCCATTTCTCATCACATTTAATGATTCGATGTAAAAATGGTTCTTTTTCTCAGTTTGTATACATACAGTAAGATTACTCAACATTGTTTCATTGTAATCATTTTCATTGGGCTTATGAGTAACAATATATTGAAAGAAAAATTATTTGGATGGAAAAAGAGTCAGTAATAAGTCAAGATCTGTTTATATACTAAGGTTACTTTTTTAGATGACCAGATCAACAACCAACTAAAAAATGCGTCATTCATGTGTGATAACCTTATAAATAAGATGGTTTGGATAAACTTTTATTTTAACAGGTTTCATAGAAGAATTGACATCATCTGAAAAAAACAATTCCTTTCCTAATCATACTTATTATAAAACCCAGGTTGTGTGTGTGTCTGTACGTTTATATATTGGATTGGATTTCCTACATTTTTCAACTGATTTCAACAAAACTTCATAGGACTACGTAAAATTACCTTGTGGTGGTTCTGACAGGTCCCAAAATTGGAAAAACACAATTGTTTTTGCACAAAATCAATTTGGAAACACTATTAAGAGGCATCGCTGTTACAAGAATGAAAGGGGGACAACTCATATCGAGTTATACTTATTATAAAACCCAGGTTGTTTGTGTGTGTGTGTGTGTCTGTGTTCGTTTATATATGGGATCGGATTTCCTACATTTTTCAACCGATTTCAACAAAACTTCACTTTTTTTTTTTTTTTTTTTTGGCAGGAAGTGTTTCTTATTGTTTTGCACACTTTTTTTTCTTTATTTTTACATTCAGAATGCTTTAAAAATTCCATTTACATGACAATTGTTTATAATAAAATTCTATTCAATCGATAGACTCATAACAATTGAAAACAATGCTTTTGCTTGGGTTTGACCAATTCATGACAAAAAAAAACTAATTAAGACATGCGTGTCCGTCAACCTTAAAAAATAATTTTATCAATTTTGTCAATTTTATTTTTTAGTCTTTATGATGGTGGATACTTGATCTATCTCTTACTGCTACATCCCCGGGCAACGCTGGGTTCTACTGCTAGTGCTTTATGTAATCTCACATACAATACAACAATAAATCTATAGTGTAATGGTAAAGAATTTTTATTATAAAGAAATTTATTTTACAACATGTCCAGTGTGCGACAGAGATACCTTCCACATAATGGTAAGACATTAGCTAGATGAAGACAGCATTGCCACTAATGTTTCACCATTATGTGGGATGTATTTTTGGTTGGGTATTTCCTCTGCACCCTGTTTGATTGTGTGTGTGCACCTGTGTCTGAGTAAAGTTGGTTGTGAATCTGACATAGTAAATATATAACAATTTGGAAAAAAACACTATTTTTGCATTTTTTTTTCATCTAGGTTGTATATTTTGTTTTACTGTCTGAAACTGGTTTACTCTGAATATAATACCTCCCATTTCATTATATCAGCATAGATAATGTTGGTTGAAGCTTCCTTCCAATAATTAATTTTTGCTTGTTTATTATTTATTATCCGGATATGCCTTATTTCCGGTTTTGTTGCCACTTGATCTCCAAAATCCCTAATCCACTTAGGCTGTTTAGAAGACTGAACATCAAAAGGAACCATCTGCTGGTCCATGAAACAAACACTTGGTCAAGATAAAACCACCTCTTTCCTTATATATATATATATATATATATATATATATATAATGTGTGTGTGTCCATGTTATTGTGCTCTTCGTTGTCTTTTGTACATTCCACGGAAGTAAATAGAATTCTAGGAATGTCCCTTGTATGTTTGTAAGTGGATAACCTGTTTAAAGTTAATGCTGTTTACAAATAATTTTTTTTTTTTGCTACATGAAGGAAACTAATTGTACGGAGATAAACACTTGTATACTATTATGATAACATGAAAATAAGTAACCATCCAGGTGGCAGTGTCTTTGAAAATGGCACACTCTTCCAATATGTTTATGAAGCTAGGAGATGAGAAGACACTGACTCCATGAAGGAGTTAGGTACAACACTAATAGAAGAAATATATTTAAAGAAACACTTGGGGTAACTTTCTCAGTGCTGCCAATGTTTTTTAATTTATTTATTTTATTTTTTAATCCTCATTTTTGACAGCCTGAATAAATTGATATGGTGATTTTTCCAAGTGTCGCTTAGATGTGGCACTAGACCGAAAGTATGGGGCACTTAGTGAGGATTGATCTCACTTCTCAGTCATAATAGTTCTAAAAAGACATGCTTGCTAACCATTACATCATGTCGAGGTGCTCCTGAATAAATTAGTATGTATGCATAATTGTTGTATAAAAAAGAAATCTTGATTTGTCTTTTAAGGTAATTGGCACGGGCTAACCTGTTGATCAAAATATAATTATAATAATTAAAAATTTTTTTTTTTTTTTTTTTTTTTTTTTTCTAAATGTTTATTCTCCTCTGAGAAGTCTCTGGATGAGTCCATTGTTTCCAAAGTTAAAATGTGGTGCCAACAAAAATGAAGGCCATTCACCCACATCATTCAAGAAAGACCTACTGCAATATGTAGCTGCTTACAAGAACTCGTCTTTAGCTGAGTGGGAAAGACACATACTTGAACATGATATGTCAGCAGCAAAGTAAGTACTTGTCTCCTTTTTTGTTTTATAATGGTTTCTTTGTCAGTTTAAATGAAAATTCTTTTGAGCTCAAATTGAAAAAAGAAGCCATTTTCATGAAGTCATCACCACTGGCTTTAATTTTTCTTTAATGTTTTACCATTTCTATAAAATTAAAAAAAATATATATCACTTGAAGACTTCCGTAAGCACATATAACTAGAAAAGAAAATAATGATCAAGGTGTTGACTTTCCACACTACCTTAAACAAAAGATTAGGAAGGAAACTTCCATCATCACTAGAAAGAGCAATAACAATGATTTAAGTTTCTTGAAAAAAAAAAAAAAACTTTCTTGGAAGAACAATTTTATAAATTTCAACTGACAGTAATGCTAACTCTGGTTAATCAATGCCAAGTGTTTCCATACAGGAAACATATCTCTCATGGCATTACCGTCTAAAATCAGTGAGGAAAAAGACTCTATGGTTACCATAAGTCTGGAAATGAAATCTGTGGCATGTATCAGGTGCAGAATTTTCTCTAAAGACAGATAGACTTGGAGAGAAATACGCATAAACCTTAGCTACCTGGTGTTGGGGTGTAATTGACCTGTATCTGTCTATATTTCTGAGATGAGGTATTGTAACTATTTACACTATTTGCATCATTCAGACTGTTGTCCTCATCTTTATTGTCATATTTCCAATGTTTTGGCCATTGTTCAACATGTATCACCTGAAGAAGGCTGGAGTGTACAATGGTCGAAACATCGTGACTATGGCAATAAACAGTCCGAATGATTATAACTAACTTGTAGTTTAATCATTTTGTCATACATAAACACTTTCTGAACAAGCATAGTTTGAGTCGGAGGTTTCCAACACCTAAAAAAAAAAAAAATAATCAAAACAAGTATTTATTCATAGAAAAAATATAGTTGCATTGTTAGCCATTGAATTATGGGACCTTTCCAGTGACAGTATTGGATGTGACTCATCGCAGTTGATGCCAGAATAGTCACTGCAGTCAATGTCATGCCAGATCATCAAAGAAACCAAGTTTATCAGCTGGATGACTTGAGAGATGACCTTCTAGTCACCAAGTGCAGATCTGCACTTCAGTGACTGCCCGTGACTAGTAAACATGTGATCAACATGGGCATGCATGGGAGCAACTGTATGACAGGTAGATATATAAACACCCACCTAAGAGGGAAGAGAAAAAAAATTCTTTCATGACCTGGTAGATGCAAAACTTTATTAATAAACATGTTAAAATTTGAATATAAAAAAAAAATCAGTAGAAGAGCAAGGAAAATAAAATGTCACTGTAAAGAGGTGAATCAAAACAGTATCAACAATAAACAAGAAAATAACAAAAAAATAGAAGCTAACTGGTTTTTGCTATTTTGATAAATGTATAAACTGTGTGTGCAACATTTAAAAATCCAAAGTCAGGGAATTAGCAGAGGAGAAAAAAAAAAAAACAAATCAATTATTAATTTTTTTTCTTTTTTAACTCTAAAAATAAAACTTAATGTAAAAAAAAAAAAAAAAAATCAAACAATAACCCCCCTCTATATTTGGTTGATATTCTTTTGGTACCAACCACAAATGCTTTCTGATGTCTTAATAAGCTGTTTGTATTTCTTGACCGGCATTTTTATTCCGTTTCAATGAATTTCATTGGGGAACAGCATTTTTAGTTCTTGCCACAGATGTTCAGTTGGATTTAAGATAGGTGCATATATGTGCAAAAGAAAATACGTTTTGTGAGGATATCAAATATATCTTTCTAATCACATGCCATTATGAATTTTTCTTGCTGATGTTTTTTTCTTTTTTTCTTTTCTTTTCTTTTCTAAAGTTAAGATTTTTATCTCAATCTGTGTTACTACTTATCACGGTTTACTCATGTTACAGAGTGCATCTGATAGCTTCAGTGCCTGGACGTCACACAATGTTGCAGAAAAATGCCTGGGGTCACCTCAAATTGCGGAAAGTAAGTACAAAAATTTAAGATAGATTATATCTGTAAAAGGACAATATGAATAAAGACAAAAGGAAAACTTATCTTAGCTGATGAGTTTTGTCCTCTGAGGTACTTTATCAAGGTAAATGTAAGGATTTTATTTTGTAACAACTATTTATTACAAGAGTCAAAAACCAAAAGCCAATAATATTTTTACTTTTGTATATAAGTACTTGTTATAAAATAAATTTGATTTTTTTGCTCTTGTACATAAATACTTTTTACAAAATAAAATCCTTGTCTTTGCCCTGATAAAGTCCCTCAGAGGATGAAACGTGTCGGCTAAGTTTTCCTTTTGTCTTTATTCAGTTGTGTGTCTGTGTTTATTTATTTATTTATTTATTTATTTATTTATTTATTTAATTTCAGTGAATGTGAAATATCTTAAGCCATGGCTCTACACATAAGTAACAGAGTTTTGCCAGATGTTAGCAAGTTGTCATCTCACCAAAGTAGATATTTGCATTTCCTGAGTTTGCACCAAATGGGTTTTTTCACCCATGGTACAAAACTGACCAAGATATCACAACTCTTAGTAGTAAACTGGTTAAATGTTGTGCATGGTTTTGTTTGGTTTTGAATTTGGTATTCAGATATTTTCATGAAAATGTATTGATTTCTCCTGGACAGGTATTGATTGATAATGGGCCTGACAAGATGGAAATGGAGTCTTGGCCTTTGATTGGTCAGTTTTCAAGCATTGGCTCCCTTGGACCCTCTCCGGACAAATGGTTGTGTGGAGAGTTCTACCAAAGTTTGGCAGCATGCAGAACCACTTCCTTCAGTACTCCACAAGCGAAGAATTTGAAACTGGTTTGTGAATTATTCTGGTCTTTATATATTTACAATTCTGTTCAAAATTGTTTGGGACTAACATCTTTCTATTTTAAGATTCAAGAACTTTAGACTGGTGTAGTTATTGCTGTGGGTTTGTGTAAATCAGTTTTGCCAAACTTTTTGAATCGTGACCCCCCCCTCCCCCTAACACTTTAAAAAAAAAAATTGTCATGACCCCTATCAACTCCATCCCTTATTCGATGAAGGTAATTTGAGCTGTTCTTTGTATAAGGGATCTTGCACATTTCTAGTAAAGTTGACCATTGGAATATCTTCTTTTTTTTTTTTTTTTTTTTTTTTTTTTTTTGTTACGAAAGACCAGATGTTTAAAAAAAAAAAAAAACACTGCTTTTTTTT